CAATATAAGAACTTGTATAAAACTTAATTAAATAATCTTTTTTAACTTTTTTTAAAATATGTGTGTTTGATTTATATATATATATATTTATAAAATAATCAATAATATTAACATAAAAAACATATAATTCAATTATTAGGTGATTTTTCTAAAATATTATTTCAATTATTTTATTTAAACAAATTATTTTAGAATATTAAAAAAGCAAATGATTTGTTTTATGTGAGTAAATGTATAGTTACAAAAAATTAATAGTCATTGTTAAGTTATACATACTAATGTGAATAATGTTCATAATGTAATGCATTATGCGAATTAGCACATTCTTGGAGCATGTACATTTGCCAAACCATGTAAATCTTGAATCAGATGATTGCTTATTGTTTTTTAGTCTAATCTTCTTATTTGATTTGTTTCCTAACAAATTACACCATAAAAAAATTGCTATAATAATAACTTAAAAGCGAACATAAAATTTTTAATTAAATTTCATTTAAAAAGTATTCTCAAATTAGTTTGTGTATAAAAAAAAAGATTAAACTTTATTCACATGAAATTTTAAAACACAAATCCTAAAAGTGCATTTAAAAGAATAGATTGTTTATTAGTATAAGTTCTTTATAAAAAAATTTGTCTTTATAATAAAAATAAAGCAAATAAATAGTGTAAAACCATGTAGGAGTATAGTAGTATGAAAGTATGTAATAATTAAGGTGCAGGGGTAGCAAATAGTCAATAATTCACCACCTAATGACAAAGATGCAACCATTTTCCTATTATATAATAATGCCATTATTATTGTTGTTGTTGTTGTTCTTCTTGTTATTTAGTCTTTGATAGGATCATGACTAACATCAATTTGTGTGCACCCATTAATCTATTTGAACCATATGAATTTGTGCACAATATAGTTTGAGATTCCTCCAAACCTTTTTATTAATTTGAAGTCAATAGATTCCTATAAATTTTAAAAAACATTAAAATATTTCACAAATCATAGATTTTTTTTAAAAGATAATTTGGTATGGGATTTATCAAGGAACACTTTGCATAAGACTCATCCAAGAATTAGGAAACCGGTAGTTTGCCATCACTATCTTCTCTATGGTCAATGGATAGTCTTTTTAACCATGTATAGGCTCCTTCGGAGAGAGCTAATGAAATAGCATTGAGTTCTATGTCCTCCGATGTTCTTCGATGATTTATCTCCTACCTTAGTAATATCCCTATGTTAGGTCGCTAAAACATTTTTCAATTCTCCAACTATATTGAAATTGAGAAACATGTCACGAAAGGTTAAAGGCTTGATCTTCATTCCTTCTACTTCTTTGTTGTTGTTTAGCTCTTTTCTAGCTATATCTTTATTATCTTTGAATTGGTGGTAACCTTGCCATTGATTCATCCTAGTGGAATCCTCAACTCCATATCTCCATAGCCTCTTTTTAGTCTAAGCATAACTAAATGCATAACCTAAGAATTACATCAAATATTTGAATTATAGGATAGGCTCTAGCTACAATAATGTTTCACTCATTTTAATGCAAATTTGCATTCTCAAACATCAATTCACATCTAATTGACACATAATCAAGCCATAGAACATCAATTGAACCAAAGGATCAAAAAACCCCTAATTTGCTATTTCGAGCCGAAAGTTTGGTGCTTCCTAATTCTAGAAATTTTTGATTTCTAAACCTCAAATTTAAGCTCAATTCACATGTTCTCACTTCAATTTCATGAATTTCCAACTTAATTTCATTTTTCTCAAATTTTTCCTCATCAAGAACCCTAACCTTAATTTTCAAAATTAAAGCTAATAAACACAAATTAAAGCATGTAAAATATCAATTAGCATCGATTAAACACTCCTCGTAGTATAGGTGAGATTAACTTACATAAACATGTTCCAATTTGTTGTTAAAAGATGGAATTTCTTCCCTCCCTTTTCTCCACTATATTCAGCCCATGCTTAATTTTTCTCCTTTGATAATCCTTGCTCTTCTAGCTTGAATTACTTATTTAACTAAGTGATATGAAGTGTTTGGAGGTGATTAGGTGAAATTTTAGGTGGAAATTCCTAGAGAAAATTTGTAAAAGTTCCCTTTGTATTTTGCTATTTTTCTTGCATTTTCTTTAATTTTTTGCACCCATATTTATAGGAAAATTTTGGTGGACCTTTGACCTCATCTCTATCGTTGATTTGATGTAATTTGGTGGCATCCTAGCCTTTAAACCATCTTTAATTCCTAGCCTTTCAATTGGATAAATCTTGACCATTAACCTTTCTTTTAATTTTGGCCCTCCATCTTGCCTAATTCTAACCCCTCCTTTTTAACTTAATTAAAGTGCATTAATTAATCCCCAATCATACTACTGGAATTCAGCTAAAAGGGTAGAAATTTCTCCTAAAATTTGGTCAATTTTGGTCCCTAAACTTACTAATTTTTTCTTTAATTACTCCTTCATATGTTCCTCAATTTTTCAATTGATTACACTATATTGTTCCTTTAAAGATTTCTTAACAAATTTTTAGCTCCTAAAGTTCATATCTAATTTAATTTGAAAATTTAAACTTTAAATTTTATGCAATTAGGTCCATAACTCTAAAATTTTATTCCATACCTTTCCAAAATTCAATTTATTTTTATAATAAATTCAAAAAATTCTTAAAATAATTTCATCATCATTCACATATTTTTTATATATTTATTTAGGCCTTTAAATTAATTATTTTGTACAAAAATATACTATTTCCTACATAAAATATTCCTTATACATAAAAAAATTCATCTAAGTTTATTAAATATTCCTACACATCCTAAATGATTTTTCTGTACCCACTTGATAATTTTCTTATACCTTTAAAGCACCTAAATTAATGAATTTACTTCAAAAATACTATTCATGTATAATAAAATTCAAATAAAATATTCACAGAATATCAAAAAATTCATCCAAAAATATTGAATAATCTAACAGCTCTCTAGAAAATATTATATTAAAAAAAAAAAAAATTTCATGCACATTCATCATGCATAAAATAATTATTTCACACAAAAAGTCACTATTCATGAACCGTAAAATCAACAAAATATTCATTGAGCATGGAAAGACTATTTTAATTGCTTTGAATATTCTTTCAACCCTTTGTGGATTATTCCATACCCTTAAAATATTTTTCACATGCCTTTAATATCTTTAAATTTATTAAATAATGCTTTTAACGGTATCGGGTGTTACGGGACCAACTTCAAAAATATTTTCTTTTTTGTAATTTTTGAAAAAAAAATGAGTTGAACCTAGAGGTGACCAATCTAAAAAATTTACTTAGGAATTTTTAAACTAAAATGGGTCAAATCAAGAGGCAAAACATCTTAAAATTTTGATTTTGACTTTTTAATATTTTTTTTTAAAAATAAATTAGGTCGAATAGAGAGATGACCAAACTCAAAAAAGCACTTAGTGAATTTTTAAAAATAAAATGAGTCTAATTGAGAGGCAACCAACGTCAAAATAAATTTTACAGTTTTGAAAATATAATTGGTAAAATTGAGAAGAGAGAAACTTCACATATATAATTTTTTACAAATTTGAAAAATATAATAGGTCAAATTGATAGGCAATAAGGCAACCAATCTTTTTTATTTATTTTTTATTTGTTAAAAATACGATGGGTAAAATTGAAAGGTGACCAATCTTAAAATAGTATTTTTGGATATGTTCTTGAAAAATTAGATGTTCACTTGGAAATCGCATGATCTTTTCGATCTGGCGACAATACTTGAGGCTTAAGAGTAGTTGAAATGCGTTTTTCTCCTTTCAGATGATATTAGTAAAATATATCAATGAAACTAATTGAACAGATTAGTTTTACATCTACAATAAATGTAGGAGACACTTTGAAAACTCAATTTCAATTTTTCTTATGCTGAATTGTTCACGATGACGTTGAATTTGAAATATTTTAGGGCTTCAGCTTCTGGTTCGCCTGAAGTAGCCCAATATCCCCTACTTGGGTTGGGTGTCTGATAGTTGCTTTGATTAATACTCAAGTGTTGCTTGCCAGGCTCTCACTCCTCCCATTAGATTGATTTTGTTACACTTGGATTTCTGCTAGCCCAAGACTGTTTTGATAAGTTTCTAAAGTCAATTCAACTCGTGGGCCATTAACTTTGCCTCTTGAGTCTTGAGTGTGTTGAATTCTACAGGTCACAGCTCGATGTAGCATGAAATTGAACTGCATCATGCCATATTCTCAAGTATTGAGATTATTATTTTCCATCCACATCCCACTATTGTTGATCTTGTTCATCTTTCACCTAATGATGCTTATACCTCATTTTGTAAGTTGGCTTTGGCACTTCCATAACATTTTGAGAAAAATCATTAGATATATATTTTAGTTTTATTAACTAGACCTTATTATACTTCCATAACATTTTGAGAAAAATCATTAGATATGTATTTTAGTTGTATTAACTAGACCTTACACTTGAATGATTCTCTTTAAAGTAGGTTGAACTACTCAAAAGAAATTAATATAGATGTTTACATGAAAATACTTTTATTTATTAAAATCTTCAATTTGATTAGCCAAAAATCAAAATATGCTATTTAAATACTATGATATAATTTCCTAAGGGAAATATTTAATTTAATAATTGATTTTAATGGAAAGAATCCCAATCCAAGTACATAATAATTTAGATATTAAAATTAAAAGAAAAAAATAATAAAAAGAAGGGGTGAATCAAAATGGGTAATAGTTAAGAGGGTCTGAGTACGGACCGACCTTAAATTAGAGCAAACGGGCCTCAAAACAGATCAAATCTGGTGTGGAATGGGCTTGGTCCACAACCTTTTGTCGGGCCAGGAACTAAAAGTGAGAAGAGAAGAACAGAGGCAGCAACAGAAGAAGCCAAAGCAGAAGTTGAAGCGAAAGAAGGGGAATAGAGGAGACTGGAGAGCAAACAGAAACACAAAGAGAAGAAAAGAAAAGGATGGGATCGTCGACGGCCATTAGAGAATTACAACGCGATCTTGAAAACAAAGCGAATGATCTTAGCAAACTCCAAAAAGGCACAATAAAATAAAATATCCCTAATCATTCCTTTGCTCTATTTTCATATTTGAATACAAAACCCTAACTGAACTTCTTTATTGTAGATATTGCGAAGAATCATCAAGTCAGGAAAAAGTACACTATCCAGCTTGGCGAGAATGAGCTTGTCCTCAAGGTCTAGCTATCTTATTCTTCTCTTCATTTATTCTTTTTTATTTTCTTTTCTGATTTGGGTTTTTGTTATTTATTTTTTATTTTTATAGGAGTTGGACTTGCTGAATGAAGGTGCAAATGTTTACAAATTGATTGGTCCAGTACTTGTGAAGCAGGACTTGGCTGAAGCTAATGCTAACGTGCGCAAGAGAATCGAATACATCTCTGCCGAATTGTATGTTTTTTTTAATTTTTTATGTTCTTGGTTGTTTCGTGGGCTGTTCTTTTTTGTTTACTAATAAATTTATCAAATTTGGATCAAGATTTGTTCCTATTCTGCTTTGCTCATTCTGTAACTTGTGCCTTGTGCTAGGCAGTTACCATCAGTAAATGTGGCTACTAGCTTGTAGCGACTGAACTATTGATGATAATTGATAAGTTTTCTTCTCTGGGAGCTAGTTGTGTTAAAATAAAATTAAAAAATTATTTTATGCCTACAATTTATTTGACATGTAGAGCTTAGGAAAGACCTGTAAATGAGAACAATACTATCTTGCTAATGCTTTACCGGCACTAGTTCATGCATTCTCAAAAAAAATGAGAAGAAAAAACTATTGGTTCATGTATCAATCGTTTGATATTGGGGCTTCCCTAAGTCTTCATTTCTAACCTCTCTGATATGTGGATTTGGGAACTTATGTGCTGAGTAATCATCTCTTCTTTGCCTGTAGCAGCTTTTATGATTGTGCTACTGTATTCCTGTGTTGCTGCTGAATGTCTTAACTATAGAACCTTTTGCTGCAATATAGGAAGCGACTTGATGGAAATCTTCAAGATTTGGAAGAGAAACAAAACAGCAAGAAAGATGCGGTTTGTGGTTTCCCTTTCTTTTTCTTAATTCAATTTATTGTTGAAGCGCCTTGTCATATGCCTGAATATGGCACTTGTGGTTCATGGTCTCTGAGATATTTTTTACAGGTTATATAGTTAAGTTCACATGTGGCAACAAAAGCTTTGGAATATGATACTGGTGTATTTGCTAGAGTTAAAAACATGAGTTCTATTATTCTTGGTTATGAGTGGTTCTCTGATGTGTGTTAGCTGCCTCGCTTTGCTGCATTTTTTTCTCCAATTGGCAAGTGTTGAAGTGTTCATCAACATTTTCTGCTCTATGGCACCTCTCTAACTTCCTGTCAGATGCTGTTTTGTGACTACATTCTTCCACTTCATGTCTAGACTTCTCCCACCAATCTCTTTTTCTCTCAGCAGTTAATGCAGTCTCTAAGTTTGCAAAAGCTTATGCTTCTAGTTTAGTCTGAGGCCAAAACTCTTACTCCAAAAGCTTCTCTGGCTAATTTGGTGGTTCATCTCTTTGTTGATAATTGGCTGCTTCAACCTGTTCAGTTGCTCTTCCAGGATGGCATTTTCTGTCTTTTAATGGTTGGATTTCTTGCTATCTGCATCAAATTATCCAGCTTAATGTGCTGGTTTTTTAGTTGTTTATTTGTGTTGTTTTGTGCTGTCTCCAACCAGTTCTCTTAGAATTGTCTGCAGTTATTTTTAGATGCCTCCTCACTGGTTTCTTGAACCCCTCCTTTTCTAGTCATAATTTTATCTTGAGGTATTGTTTTTGTGATTGAGGCCTGCTGTGCTTGTCAATCTCATCTTGGTGTGTTCTAATTTTCTAGCTAGAGCTTTTGGAGTGTTACCTGTTTGTTTTTCATGGCAGCTACTATCTGGTTGTCAGGAGGGCTGATTTATGCTACTGTTTGTGCTATTTGTATTTAGCTTTGATCTTTATGTTGTGTTATGTTTTACTGCCTTCTTTTGTAAGCCTGTAGTTCTTGGTGCTTTGACAGCTATTTTCTTATGGGCTATTGATGTTTTCAACTTCCATTTTTCTTTATACAAATGTCATCAGTTATATATATATAAGGCTTTTGCTATTCTTGCTTCTTTTCTGTTTTTCTGGTTGCTGGTTTTTGGCAGCTGACTGTGTGGGTTTGTGAGGGCTTTGTTTGTAACCTTGAATGTTTTGGGTCTTCTATTTCTGCAGGACCTTTCTGTGGGCTCTTTTTTCCCCCCTTAATTGTGTCTTTTCTCCTAGCTTGCTTGGTGTTTTAATAATAATATAATTTGTGTCTTTTCAAAAAATAGTTTCTGTTATTCTTTTTCATCTGTTTTTTTTTTTTTTTTTCCACTGCCATCATTAACAACCCCCTGTACAAATCTTTGATGCACTGCAACCACGGTCCAGTTTCATCTCAGCATGCCTGTCATCTTGCAGTTAACTTTTTTAAGGAATTGTATTCGGGTGATGCCTGCATTTTGTTATTTGTTTTCCTGATTGTGGCTCGGTGGATTGTCATGAAGTGGTGGTAATGGTCAGTTGGTTAGGGCATATTAGCATGCATTTTCTTTAAAGAATTAATAGTCAGATATGAAGATTTATTGTTCAAGAGAATAGAAGCGGAGAGTGAAAGATAGAATCCTGGTCTGGGTTTATAAACTTCCTTTGCAATGTCATGTAGACTTAACCATTGCATATTGCATCATGGTTTTTGGTTTCAATATTATAGTGTTATCCATTGTATATCATAGATTTCAATGACAATTTATGTTTTTGATGATTTTGGTATCTTGCAGATCTTCAAGTTACAACAGAGGATCCAATCATTCCAGGCTGGCAAAGCCAAGGCATAAATATGCCGTCTTAGGTGTGTTTACTTTGTCGGTTGTGACTTCTTTTTTTTTAGATGATTTGATGTAGATACTTTCCTGCTAGATGTCTTTTACAACCATGTACTACCCTCTCTCATCACTATGAGAAGTTTTAAATTTTGTGCCAGAAATATTGCTTTCTTTATACAACGACTTGCATAATCTTGAAAGCAACATCACCTTAGATTGTGTTTGGTTTTAGGTTAACATTTAAGCCCTCTTAACCTTAGGTTGTGTTTGGTGTGAGGTAAAAATTTTGAAGGAAATGTTAAAGAGGTGAGATTTAAGGATGAATTCTTAAGGATGTTTGGTTGGAGCTGACAAAGTTATGGGTAATAGTGGATTCTACCATGTATAAAATGTAATTTTACATCAAACAAAATTATAAAAAAATATATTAAGTAATGTAAATTTGCGGTCCTAAATGTAATTGAAAAGTAGTGTAAAAAAGGAAAAAAATTTGAATTCAAAATTTGTAACCCTTTCCAAGTCCCTGGCCAGAACCACACGCGCAAGAGAAAATGGTCAGTTTGTACAATTTTTTTTTTCAACTTTCATTTCCCTCTTTTTTACACACACCCAACACATGGATCCGACTATTATACATTATTTTGTGTTTCGGTCAGAACGGATTGTTTGCCTCATTCTATTTTGAAAAGCAGAACAATACAGGAAATTTTGGCCAAATATCGACTGCTGTGTCTTTACTGATTTCGTGCCTGCTTCATTCTGCCTCGAGAGAGATCAGATTTTGATTTTTAAATGACAAATACAAGAGAAGAAACCTCTAATCGTTTATTTATCCAAGCCGACCAATACATTTGATTTTCTCTGGATTGTTGATGAAAAGGGAGATAGAAGGGAGTGGGAGGACTCGGTTCTTCTGTTGCATGAGACTTGGCTCCCCACCGTAGATTCAAATAACGAATGCTATGGTTTTGAGATACCCTCTTATCGTTATTCAATGTTATGGAACTTCTTGTCATTTTGCCTGATGAATAATAGTGTTATTATTATGTAACGATGTTATATAATGATGTTATATTAAAAAAAATAATTAAAATTTAGCTTTTGTACTTTGTAATCTATCTAAAAGATGTTATTATTGTGTAATTAGTAAAATTGTTTAAAATATATGAATTATAATAAATAAATTAATAATTGTTAATGGAATCATGACATTAATTGTTGCAATCGTTATTTTATTATGATGATAATTTACAATATGTGATTACGGTTGTAATCGTCTTTTCAACTAGATTCGTAGTTTAAAGCTATTATCCTCAACCCTCTATTGGAACATACAACCGTAACATGAGTTCGGCTAGGATTTGAATGCACGGGCTCAGCTTTATGTGATGGTAACGGGAGCTTATTTAAAAGTAGTAGTCACTTCCATTGGGCCTTATCTGATTGTATCAAATATCCAATGAGGTAAGTTCTGCAGTATTCCTACTTTGGATAAGAAATTCTATATGTTAAATAAAGAGTAAAGCCTTTTTGGAGAAAAGAAAAGCACCGGGTCCAATATAATTCTCAATAAGGAAAGGAGTATCATTCTTGTGCATTGAGTGTAGATGCACATTCTTTGATTTCCGGAACTTGTTTATAACTTGGGTTACAGATGATGTTGTTGTTGTTTTTTTTTTTTAGTTGGCTGTTGTATAAGATGCATGGCAGTTAGTATGGAAAAAATAAAAAGGTTAAGTTTCTCTAGCATTATTGGTGCATAAATTCCTGGGCCTGATTTACTTCCATCTATGATCTCAGATTACGAGGCTGTCATCCCAAGTTCTTGTGTCCCAAGTTCATATAGAATTAAAAAATAAGTACCTCTGGTTTTGAAAAATAAATTAATTAATCATTCTGATTTTAAAAACTAATTATTTAGTTTTTTTTTGTTCTTTTTTAATTTTTTTTAAGAAATAGAAAATGAATAAAAAAAGTCAAAATATAAAAAGATTGATGAGAAAAAATATTATATATATATAAAAATAAATTAGTCATGGTCAATAATGGTTAAAAGAACTCAATAATAAGTTTTTGAAACCAGAGGAATTAATTAATTCATTTCTCAAAATGAGAAGGACTAATTTATAATTTACTCCAAATTTGTGGCATTAAAAAATATATTTTGGTCCCTTAATTTGAATTTGGTGCATTGCTTATTTTTTCATTCACCATCCATTAAGTTAACTTTTTGACAATTTTGGGACATATGCGTCACTCATTCATTGGTCAACATAATGACCATTGGCTTTTTGGTCTTAAGCATTTTTTCTATTTTATAAAAAAATATTTTTTTTAAAAAACGAAGAAATTAATTTTTTTTAAAAATTAATCGACATATTTTATGTAATTTTTATTCATTTTGAATATTATTTTAATTATTATTTTTTTACTCCATGAAATTTACAAATTATATATATATATATAATCCAAAAGTCCTCGATCAAAGGTCAACTTATTACCTATGATGAGTGCCGTGTGTACTAATTATCAAAAAGTAAAACTAACTTAACAACAAATTACAACGGATTGGGGATAATCAAATGTAGAGATCCAATTATCCATTTATAAACCATATACTTGCATGTTACTCGATGACATGGAGTGTGGTCTAAGGATGTCATCTACCTTGAAATTCAAGATCATCTAGGCTAAAGAGATTCTTTTTTACACGGACTAAATTATCGAAGGGTTTTAGATTACTTTTTGGGTTTAAGTTTACCTTAATTATTTTAGGTCTTAACATGAATTGAACTAGTCATCTCTTTCTCATCTTGATATCGTTTCCCTTTCTTTACCACATAATCTTGTATGGATATGGATGATCAACACTTGTTAGATTGAGTTTTTGTACAATCTTTGAAGATACAATGTTCTCACAACTTTTTCCATCAATAATTAGATCACAAACCTTTTCTTGTGTTTCTTGTGATGTGCGATAGGTGTTAAAGATATTATGTCTAAGCCAATCCTTTTTGACTTTTTCTACCAAACTAATCACTCTTTAGTTTCGACAATCGAAAGCAACTTGTCTAAAATAGTGGCATTTGAAGCACTTTTTAGAATTAGAGTTTGAACCCGAAGTGTTTTTATTGAAACCCCGTGTGGCTCTACCTCCTCCACTTTATCGTGGCCCTCTTTAGGTTGATTTTATAACCCTAGTTGAAATATTGAGGCTAGAAAAGGTCTTCCTAATCGAGACTCTTCCACCACTCCATCTAGATGTATTATGATACTTTTCAACTTTGAAGAATACCTTAATGACATCATATAAAATATGATATTGTTGCAATTAAATCACCCTAGCAATATCGAGTCATAATCTTCTCAAGAATTATGCAATGGTATTCTCTTTTGGTTTATAAATTTCTTATTTTAACATAAGTTGTTTGAATTAACTAGCATATGCTTCAACACTCAAAGTTCCTTACGTAAAGATATGAAATTTTAGATATGTATCTTACTTGTAGTACTCGAAAAGATACTTATGATTGAGAGCTATTTTCATCTTTTTACAAGTAGTGATTTTCAGCTTGCCTTTTTGAAGTCATTGTGTCTTTAGTTTTTGTCACCACATGAAAACATTTTTTGTTAGCTTGATAGAAACAATCTTAACCTTCTTGTTCTTTGTGAAATCAAAGACCTTTTTAACAAGTATGCACCCAATCAATGAAATCATTGAGATTGAGTCTTTCTTAAAAGTTGAATATGTCAACTTTGACTCTAAAGTCTTGGTGTTATGATTGTGGCTTCCTAACCATTTGACCTAATTGTTAGACAAAATGGCCATCCTCTATGAATGAGTCGGTTTACAAAGCTTCAAAAGTAGTTACACTTTCAATGTCTTCCTCTTGATCTTTTGCTTTTTGGTTGTCCGCTTCTCTATCTCTTTTTTTGTATTTTTACAACCTCTCAAGTAAACGAGCATTCTCCTTTTATAATTCAGCCATGGTAATGCGACATAGATACTACCTTTTGGCGACGATCTCTATAAAATTGGTCAAAGAACATGTAAGGAAGCAACCTTAACTTTGATAGCAAATTGACACTATTTTTGTAAAGAATTGAAACAAATCCAATGCTCTTATGTTAATTTGTATGTTGCCAAATTCAGAATTCTTAAAAGCTTAAAGAATCTATGACCTTCCTCTTGAATTTAATGGATGAAATCAGAATTCCAACTTAGAGTTGCGTAGGCCGAAACTAGAAATAGATAAAAAAATCCCTAACTTTGATTGATTTTGGCGAGTTCTCAACAAATTCCATTATAATCTTGCTAAGAGATGTAACCCTAGGTGATTTTGATGAGGTTAGAAACCCTATTGAACCCTTGGTTAGTTGGTCGATTGATAGTATCACCTTGAATGATCAAGTCAAGGATATAGAACAAAGCCCAAACAATGCACAAGGATTTAAATATCTAAAGAAACTTCATAAGAATTTTATTAATCATCAAAATACATTTCTCTACAAGCATAAGACCCATATTTATCCTAGTTAGGGCCTACCATGTAAGAATTGATTCTCCTTGTAAAATTTAGCCACATTTAGATAAAATAAAACTAAGGAAAAACTTGTCCAACATGAACTACAAAACTTCGGTCTCACTTTTCATGACTCCACTTCTAATCTAAATTAAATATAGAATTCAAAAGACATTTAGATTTATTATCACAAATCCCGATTTAGGTTAATTGGTGCAAAAGTGACACTTTTTAAGATTAGCATATAACTTTTTATCTCTTAACACATAAAAATACTTGTTATAGATGCTCCAAGTGCTCTCCTAATTCATGACTATGTACAAGTATGTTATTAAAGTAAAAAAATAATAAATTTAGTTATATAAGACTGAAATATTTGATTCATGAGCCTCATAAAAGTATTTGGTGTAGTAGATAGTCCAAATATTACCATCATCTATTCATATAGACCATCTCGAGTTTTAAACACTATATTACATTCATCGCTTT